TATCAAATTAGCTCTCAGTGTAGCTAATTTGAAAAAAAATAATCATGTATGTCTCCATGACTATCAACAGCTTCTTTCGGACCGATTTGCTAGATTGAGAAATTAGACAGTATTATTATTTAATTACTCTATTTACTTATATATTATTACACTTTTATTATATTATCCTGTTTGCATAAACGTGAGTATAAGTCTAAATATTCACACAATTATTCTTCATACTAATATTTAGTATGCGAACGTGTCTGTCTGCCTGTTTGTTACCTTGTCACGACTAAACAGCTGAATGGAACTTAATGTTTGACATGACATAGGCTATTTTTAAAATAGCAGACGAAATCGCGGGTTGATGCTAGTTTAAAACATAATGTTTTATTTGCATAGTTCTTATCCGACGACAGTTACTGTTCTTTCTGTCGAGTTGCTCACTAGTTTAATGCAAAAAGTTTAATAGAATAAGTATAATAGCCCGTGATTCATAAAGTTTCTTATAATAAAACATTTATATTATTATACTGCAGGTAATGGATGTACTGAAATAATTTTGGATCGTTATTCAGTGGTCGACATGACCATGACACTTTTACGATTATGTATACGATAATAATAATATCTAAAAACATACACAAGATATGAACATTACTTTATTTTTTTCTGTTTTCTAATGAAGGTTACGGAAGTGGTAAATAAGCGGCTGTAATGATGACTGACCTACTAAAAGTTGACTTTTGTCATCCACGTCTATATCACAGAATATATTACATTACTCATAGTATTACAGTGCCTCTTATCATTTAATCTGCGGATAATTATTATAATTTGGCCTTAAATATATTTAAAACCATTAAGAAAAACACTGCATATGAAAATTACTAATATAAAGGATCTGGCTATAACATGTATACCACTTGTATATTTTAAATTATAAGTTTGCTAAATTTGTACACATCAATTACGAGCATGCTAATTAGAACAATCTTTTTTTTTTGTAACCGAAATGCCAAACTAGTTACGGTCCACCTAATTTTGTAATTGATAAACATAAACACTATGCACTATGTTATGATGTGACGTACATTATTCTGTGTTTGCATTACAGACAACAAATATTTTAAGCCTTCATATCCTGTAACTACTACTACAAGCACTTATCTCCACGCATCAATCTAAAAACAGATTACAAAGCAAGGAGGTTGGCGGCTGAAGTAATTGAGACTTAGATAGCGAATACGACTTTTTAGAGAGCTACTTAGGAAAATTATTTACTCTTATGTTATTATCAATTCTGTACAAACTGTCAGGGTATACAAATGAATGTATACCTTCATATTTAGTATAGGATATCTGTTTGTGAATAGTAGTGCAGCTTATTTAACTTCAGACTGAAACATATTAAAACATTGCTGTTTCAAGGCAGAAATAAGTAAAATATTGGTTCAGCAGACGGAGAGTTTGTACAGTCTGCGTGGGTGCCAATTTACTTCCAAAGTGTAGTCATCTGTGATTCCGGCTTGAACAGTTAGATAGCGTAGTGAATTTGTGGGTACGGAACCATATTCCTTTTGTCCTAAGGATTTGCAGCGCATAAGACAAACAGTCGGACATTGTGATATCCATATCTTTGATATACTCGCTCTGCCTCGGTCATGTCTATATGCGACGGTTTCAACCTTCCATCAAGTAGTGTACAATTTTAAGTTATACAAAATACTACTTTATAAAATACAATTATTAAGTTATACTTTAGGAAAAAAAAAAATACTTAATAATAATTATAATTGTCTAGTATTTACTCGTCATTAATCAACGAAAAACCATGCACGTTTCTAAATAAAAGCATATTGAAGCACAATTTTTTTTTTTTTGCATTAAAAAATTTATAATTTTATATATAAAACTAAAATAAAAAGTAACTATAATTTTTTATAATAAATTTAATTCGAACAGGAGTCAATTTTAATCCAATTGAGTTTGGTACTCTTTTATAAGAATACATTAATAATACAATGAACTTATGACGAATCAACCGAGGTTTGTTCAATGATCATGAAATATGAAACTAATACATTGGTATTCGTTTTGTATTTCATGATCATTAAACTAACCAAGTAATATTGATACTAGTAACCTAGTACACACTTGTAGCCGCACCCCAAGGATGTTGATCGGAATTAATTTCAAAAGTGAATGACACTTCACTCATAGTTGCGTAATTAGTAACAAATACATAATTCAAAGTATGTACAATGTACAGTATTCAACATTTCATAATTAGTGGAGTAGTAACAATGAGTACATAGTACAATTTTAGAATTTAATAGAATTATCGGAACATTGCTCGAGTTTGTAAGCGTATTATTGGAAAACCCCCATCTTTGTAATGCTTTTACATAGTAATTGAATTTTGAATTCTGAATTCCTTTCACATATTACACATGCGAGTAGAATGGACAAACATGGAAAGGAGAATCTAGTAACTGTAATCTTGAATCAAGTCATTATAGAGTATTTATTTAATGTAGAAGTAGAGTGACAAAGGATGTTCAATTGTTCATAATTATAGCGCGAAGAACCAACCACGATACCTGTACAATATTGATTTACACATCACACTTAACATGTTAGAAACTTCTCACATTATGTTAGGTATTTGTTAGCTTATAATCGGCTTTTATACTGTTTTTATCAGAGTATAAAGTCTTGTATCAATATGAAATGCCTATTATTCATTGTAAATTGTTTCTTAGGTATCTTTATATTTGTCTTATTTTTCTATTACCATTTTTTAATATATCAACAAACATAGCTTATATAGCTTATTGTTATGTGAATAAAAATTACACACGTATATTTTTCTTACTAAATAAGTAAAACAGGTACAAAATAGGTAAAACAGTAAAATAAAGAAATCAGTTTGAATACCAATAAATGAAAACAGTAAATCTCTGGAATGTTCTAAAGCTGTAAATATGCGATTACGGATAAATGGAGTGAGTATAAGTAATTTATACTTCATAAAAATATTTTGATGCGCTTTTTAGATTACGTTTTAATTTTAACTGGAATTAATTAATATCGATAGCCATTATTTTATCCTTGTCCTGTTCTTAATATTAACCGTGCATTTCGCGTTTTAAATTATATGATATCATAGAGTAGTAGAGTTCGAGATCCGTCGGTAACTTTTTGGTAGATTTTTGTGCTATACTTACAAAGTAGATATTTTAGAGCACTACAATAAAAACAACAGTATATTCACGCGAAATATCTGCTACTTTTTGCGGAGGAACCGTCTTTATAATAATTATGAAGTATAAAGACCCTTCGCTCACAAAAAGTTATTATAATAATTATGATAAATCTAACTCTATTAGTAAGTCTCTTACTACAATATTAGGGTGAGTTTAGCAACCAACCCTATGAACAACTTCGTATTAAAAAAAAGTCAACACTATATTGCTAGCAATTTAATTTGTGTTGAAAATTAGTTGTCAATGTCAATAATTTTCGTTTTTTTTAAGTATTTGAAAATAATTACGAAAATGACAAAATATTTTTGCATTCGAATTTTAAATATCAGAATGAAAAATTAAAATAAAACCCTTCGGCGAGGCCTGGAAACCGTAGCCCTCGTTTGTCCGGGCTGAGTGCGTTTCAAATTACGGCACGAAGTGATAGTATTCACAGTTCGCAAATTTTTTACTCCCATTGAACGTCATTAAACCTGACTTTTGCCAACGGCTGTGTTATCTAAAATAATAAAAAATGTAGAGTTCGTTTAGGGTGGGTAAATTGAATATAAAACTGAAATTAATATATTTGTCAATCTAAAAACTATCTTTTTAAACTTTGAACATACAATTTGAACTATTGTAGGTATGGATGTTTATAAAGATGTTTTATTGCCTATTATGCAATCAAAGCTGAGGCTAAGATTAAGAAATTTTCTGTGAAATTTGGTACACAAATTCATCATTTCAGAGATGTAATCGTTATATAGATAATTAATTAAATTATGTATATATTGATTACATTCCTGATATGAAAACAATACCTTTTACTTTTAATGTATTGAGTTAGAGTAAAGTTTTTTATTTCTGACTTATAAGTTCCAGCTCTTTTTGATACTAAAATATTCAATATAATACTAAAGAAAATGGGTAGTTCAGTTTCTCGATTACTAGCATTGTGGTAATACAATAATTAACATTAATTTGCTTGCTTTTAAGTGTATATTTTCTGATTTGTAGTTATGCTTAAAAATTTTCCAGTTGCTCGTTATGACATGAGCTTTTTTGTATTTATATTTTAGAATTTTGAAATTTATAATTGAATTTGTTTTTTCGTGGTTTATCTCTTTATGATTTGAAGCTCGAGTCGAGATAAAGCAACAAGGTTACGTCAATTTAACGATTTTCAAGTAATAAGCTAGCCTGAAATAAGTATATACGTAACCGTGAATGCAACAAGTGAAGCTCGTAATACCTAATTTTAGTACTAAATACATATTATATTATACTAAAAAAGGAAAAGAAATTCTTATTATAACACACAAAATATAGCGGTACACATTAATTATTTTATTTAATATTAATTAGAGAATAAATGAAAACATACTTTTTATTAAATAAATTTACGAAGTAATTTCTTTTTGTTTCATATTTTATGGAGGAGACAATGACTAATTTTAATATTTATAATAAATACCCATTTATTACTCATTTAAAATTCGAACACATATAATAATGTGTTAAAATAAAATAAATATAAATGAAATAATAATTATGATTACCAGTTCTAGAATTATTAAATTTTAATTTAAACAGTCTAAATATTACAAAAAAATAATTATTATGTTAATAAATAATATTTATTAAAAAAATTCTTTACGTACCCAAATCAAATCAAGTAGGAACAAGAAAAATAAATTAAAAAGAATTTACGAAACTAACACGTTCGGATACACTATAAGAAACTGTTCACTTGCACTGATCTTATTAATGTTCGTGGCTCACGTAGGATCTGGAATTCTGGAGGGAGCCCGCGCGGCGTCCTGTACCGGCGGAGACGACGCTTGCACTGCTCCAGTCGGCTCCCTCCCACCCTCCCTGTACCTGTTACGTACCTGAAATGTACAGGTATAGTTCCCATATATTCAGTAAGTAGCTGCTATTGATGGACAATCAGAATTGATTTCAGCAGCCGTGGTTAGTGCGTTCGGATAATATATTGTTTTTTAATTTAAATTCACTAATTAATTATGAATATTTACAAGTTATTTTTATATATAGATTTTCAAAGAACAAGTCTACTTATATATGCTAAAAAATTGAAAAGAAATTTCTATCTTTTTCTTTGTCTTGCTAGCTAGCATGTTAAGTTCATACGCATCACTCACTTACTACATTTATATATTTTAGCCGTTTTTGATCTTGGTGGCTGATTGATAGGTACTTTTCTTTTGTGTTTAATACAGTTTCGGGTTAATTTCTCAATAAGATCAATTTAAAAAATTAATTTCCTGAATAGATATCAGCTTTTTGTAATGTTTATTTTTGATAGTATAGTATGGTACCTACCTGTCTAGGTATATGATATTCTAAATATTTTAATGCAAAACAAAACATGTGCTAATTGGTGTAATTGTATTGAGAAAATATAGATACAATGTAAGAAACTTGGTAAATATTTAATAAATAATAAACTTAATACGATTGTCTATACGTGTACATTGATTAATATAAATAATATCCATTACTTTTTTGTCCAAATAGATATGTAGGTAGATAGGTAAGGCGAATAGGTAGAGACTTCATTTTCACTAATTTCTGGATATATATTTAATGTGCTGGGAAATGCACAAAATTTCTATGTCCATGATAAGTATATAATTAACATATTATTTAAACATTACGAATGGTATTTTAGTAAAAGTTCTGTTGTCAATAAATAAAATTTTATACTTAGCTAGTCTGTAAACAAAAACTACTTAAAATTTAAACAAGAAACTTGGTATATTTTATAAAGAAAACGGTGTATTCGCCGAGAGACATAACAACAAAAGTTGAAGAGTAACATGAAAACTGACAACTTAAAAACAACAAGTAAAACACACTAACCCCCGCGGACTATACAGTAACTATGTCCTTTCCACATTGACATTTAAAATTAGATTTCTGCCCCGGTTTTCCATAGGTATACGTAATAGATATGAAGATAAAAAGTTGAAATATTTTGTTTACTTTTAATTAATAATTAAATAAAGCTTGACTTGTATGAAAGAATATACATGAGTACAGAATGATTAAAATAGTGAAAGAGGACTTTTGCACATGCAAATTAATCGAGTGATTTGTTCCTGATTTTGAGTATTAAGCAAATGTTCGGTAGTAGCAGACTTATGGTTGTAAATTTTTGTATGTGCTTTTTGACCTTCAGTTATTGAAGTTATCGTGGTATTTTAACATTTTTCATTGGTACTCCCTCGTTCAGCGTAGACGGCTACTACCATTTGATTATCATCCCTTTAAAAAATAACATATATATTGAATAACAAAACAATACTATATAAAACATAATCTTTATATATAAAAAGTACGTGTCACGTTGTTTGTCCGCAATGGACTCCTAAACTACTGAACCGATTGCAAATTTGATTTGCATATTGTGTGCAATATGATCCAATTTGAAAGATAGGATAGCTTACATCTCAATTTATAGTTGAAATATTATTTTATTCAAGAATCTTAGCCCCAGCAACGCATGGCCGGGTCGGCTAGTACTATATAACTACAAATCATCGAATGTTTTTAAATTAAGGTATATTTCAGTCTCTGTCATAAGGTACACAACCCAACTTATGATAATTGCGAATTCGATTTTCGCCTGAATGTCTTCTATGTACCTATTTACAAATAATATATGTAATATTAAGTACATATTTTTTTCGATCCCATTTTACAAACTCTGCTTAGTGTGAGACTGGCGCTATATGAATTATTCTGGGTTATTATTATAAGAGGAAAAAAACAGGGTTTTCGAGACCTTAAGTGGTGGACAATAATTTACCTGCCGCTGTCTTCTGGCTCTACAAATGAAACGCATTTAGACTGAGAGATATTAAAAATGGCAGATTGTCCGCGTCCGCATTCAACTCGGCAACGTATTAAAATGTGTGCCACTAACTCTTTTGGGCTCTGTCATTTCTATTCGAGGAGGATTTTACGCCATACTTCCTTATGTAATTTCTCATTTCAGCGACTTGTTGAATATAAAGCATTTTCTTTTAGCCAAGAACTTTAGTCAGTGAAATAAAATGATTGTAAATTATCCTAGTATAAATGTTATTTCCTTTTATAGGTAAATTGAGAATGCTGTTAAATTATATGTATGAATTGGAGGATATAAACTTATAATATTTTTCATTATTGCAAGCATAATGAAAATGAAAAGCAATAATGAAAAATATTAATACTAAAAAAAACTCAATATTATAACAATATTGTCTTAACAAAAACCAAGATATATACAAAATAGTAAAGTGCAATAATATGTATGAATATATCTTTTGAAATGACTTATACTAATTTTGATTCCATTCCATAACACTGATGCTGGTAATCTGTCACGGTAGTACCCATGCGTTACTTTCTCGGGCCAGTAGTCTTCGTTCATGTTGGTAGACAGTATATTAGTGGCCCGGGCGACAAACTAAATCACTTTTCTATCTGATGTAGTAAAATATGTATAAGAATACGTCACCCTATCTGTTATTCTCAGATTTTTTTAAACATAAAAAGACGAAACACAGTTGAAAAGAAGGACAGATACACCTATATTTGTGGAATATTTTTCATTATACGCCGATTCCTTTAAAACAGTTTAGTTTCTCTTGTTAATAATAATAATACGTACTTTGTAATAATATTTCATCTTGCACTGCAGAAATTGATGTTTTCATTTATATAATGAACACGTAATAAAATCACGACTATCTGAATACAAAGTTAGCTGAAGTTGAAGTAAAATAAAGAGCAAGTCTTTAGAAACACATTTAAAGCAATTTGAAAGAGTCGCGACGACAATTGGCTACCGCAATCCAATTTTAAATATATTCTGGTTCACTTTAGTAGGTATATACCTAAACTCCATTCTGAAGCACTGAGATTTTCCCCTTAGGAATACGGGACAACCAGGAATGTGAAATGTCATCCTTTGCGGACTGTATTATGTGGCACGGTAAAGAAATGGTCGAATATTTTACAGGGACACAATTTTTTTTAGAAAATTACCTAATTTGTGAGTCAATTACAATTATATCACTAACGTTAGTAGCACACAAATATATATAATATATATTTGTGTGTCCGTAGAGCTTATATATTATATAAGCTATATATTATATATATAAATATATATATATACGCAACAAATTACGTATTGTGTAAGTATAACGCCATTACAAGATTTCCCACAAACATATAATTAAAAAAAATACACTACGAAGTCCAGAATAAAGAAGTCTATAAATAGACTTGGCTTTTAGCTGTTTTAGTTATCCTCCATTTCTCAAATTAACTTAGAACATACTGTTCTATATATTAAAAAGAATAACACAAAAGTGAAAAATATTGTAACATTTTTTGCGACAATCAAGACGGTATTTGGTTATATATATAAACAATGTGAAGTTTTTTAATAGGCGCAGAATTTAATCAACAAAGTCGTCGTATACTGATTATAACCCGCATACCTATCAAACACAGATAATGGCGGGGTAAAATGATAATATATCAAACATCTGAACTTTTATTATTCTTAAGAGTAAAAAAGTATTTATTTTTAAATCTCCTTGACGTAATACAAAACAAGCAGAATATTATATTGGTACCTACTACAAGCTGTGATCCGCAGTTTCACTCGCCGTTTAATCTATACAGTATGAGTTTCTATTTGTAATATTGAAATAACCGATTTTTACTACATCCATATGAATATAAATACAGTACATACACCAAAATATATTTTTTTTGTCAGTCTGTCTATTTGTTCCGGCTAATCTCTGATTTGGCTAGATCGATTTTGGCTAAACTTTTATTGGTAGGTGATGATGTAATAAGGAGTAACTTAGGCTACTTTTATTTTAGAATAATAAAGTAATGTGCAGAATTCCACGCGGACAAAGTAGCGTGTACTAGTTAAAATAAATGGCGCCTACGTTGGGTCTCTGGGCCAATTATCATATGCCGGATCGCATCGCATCGCATCGCATCGCATTTTGTATTTCTTTATTTTCCCTTTTGAATATTTTTCTTCTAAATATTTAATGACTACTTTTTGCTACAACATTGCAAAAAGTCCCCTATGTGGGTATCTCAGTCTCACATAGTACCTATATTTCAGCAGTCAAGCAGCTTGCTTTATAACCATTATTTCGGTCTTAGGGTGGGATTAGGCAATAAAATAACTAGATAAGAGGCATAATATTTTAGTCCTCGGGAATGGTAAGGCATGAGTGGTATCACGGGCGTCGCATGATAACGTGATGTTCGATGTGATACTATTCATGTATGTATACAAGCGCCGGTTACTATTTATCATTAGGTCGTCCGCATTGACTATCAGTTTTAAAAGGAATAAGTTTTTTAGTCACAGTATTAGTTCCGGAGGTTAGTGCGTTAAAACAAACAAACCCTTTAGTATTAGGTATTGGTATCGATGACATGATATTGATATCAATATGTAGGTAGATCAATAAAGAAATTTCAAGTGTCAACCGTCGTCAAATATGTAATACAAAACTAGGAGTAGATAGCTTTTCTTTTGGGAGCTATTGAACACACATACGTTTTTCACTTGTGATATTATATACAAGCGGTGCTATACCGACTACTACTACACGCGACTTCGTCTGCTTTTATAGAGATGATCTTTAATAAGATCGACAGCCTATCTCCGTCCTCGTGATACAATCTTCATGATAAATATTATAATCTGTTATTCACCTGTGAAAAGGTAGTATAAAACCAACTGTTTCCTGCGACATCGTCCGTTTTTTTTTAGATAAAAATAGCTACACGTTTAATTTCATTAAGATTCGTTCAGTTATTT